TATATATAATATTTATTTTAATTTTAATTAGTTTGTCAGGACATGGATGAGTTGGTAAAAGGTTTCCACACATGCTCTTGGTCTTATTTCTTGGTCTCGACTCTTCCTATGTTTTCATGCTCGTCACTTTTGATGTTGAAGGGCTTCAATATGCTTGGGGCTAATTGTTGAAGGGCTTCAATATGTTTCTGTCTTGTGTCTCATGATCGCCCCGTTGTTGATGGGCTTTGAGCCTTCAACGCAATTGCTTATTTGGATAGCAACTTTGATACTACAACCTCGTTGCTATTGAAGGGCGAGCCTTCCATGCAATCTTTTTTTTGGTTGGTTGCTTCGAGCCTTCGGTATTCTTGTTCTTTTGCTTCCAAACATCGCAGTTAACCTCCTAGCTTTGAGCCTTCTTTGCACTCTATCTTTCGATTAGAAAAATGATTATTTTATGAAATGTTAAGCCTTCGCCACACCATTAAAATTGTTTTGTTCTTCCGGTAAAATGAATTTCTTATTTTTTGGAGTTATTAAATGATTGTCAACCTTATCAAAGTCACAACATCCATGAGTGTTATTTTTGAACCCAGAATAATCTGTATTCTAAGTTTCCTTTTTATTGCTGAAATAAGTTGCATATCTTTGTGCTGTTTGTGATCCTCGTTTGAAATGGTTCAATTTATATTGTAGTTGCATGGAAATAATGAGCTGGTTTTTAATTTTTACATGCATTTTGTACATATTTGTTTAAATGCATTCTCTAGTTACCATTCTATTGGATGTATTTGATGTTAGGAACAGTTTGCTTTTCGAATAATATTGCTATTTAATATGGTCAATGATGATTGTAAATTTTCAGTTTATTTACTTTAACTAGGTGCTGTAGCCTTTTATGTGTCAAAATATTTGAATGACATGTAGGTGTTATGCAGACTTTCATGTCATTCACAAATGTTAAATGATTAAAGGAAAAATAATACATTTGATTAAACATTTGCTTATCAAATTTTATAACGACTCTAAGGTGAAACTTTTAAAACATTCATTAAATTTTTTCTTTTTTATGCTTTATTTTTATTTATAATTTTCTTAATGTTTTACTGTTTAAATTACCGTGTGCTACACCATGCGCTATGACTTCATGAAGATCATGAAGATCTTTACACTGATGTTTATTGTCGCTAGTCATATTCCTATATCAGCTTCATTTTTTTTTTCCTTCACTCTTGTAGCCATTTTTTATGATCTTGCACACTGAATGTTGATCGTCCCTTGATGTTGGCGGAAAAATGATTTATCATGTTGATGATGCTACTACAATACCTTTGTAGGCTGATGTTCTTATTAAATTTTTTTATATATAACGTTGCAATCATATTTTTATCTGTTACTGGGTTACCTTCAATATTACTGAAGAACTTGACATTTTTATTTTTTATTTTTAACTTTCTGGTTGATCATTTTTATAAGGTGCAACTTATCTTATATTACTGGATAAATCCAATTCTGCAGTTTTGAAAGATGGTTTTGATAAGCTGGTCAATAGGGATTTTTGTTTGAGACGAAGTAAGTTATCCTGCGGTGGATCAGCTTTTGTTTCGGTGTGGATAAAAGTTTACTGTGGCCTAATCTGCTTTTGTAGTTTTCCTTTTTTTCACTAAAATTTTAGTCATGGATTCTCAGAATCATAATTGCTTGCTGAAAGTATTTTCAGATGTGACGTTTTCCCATAACTTTCTCAGTTTAGCTAGAATTGAAATCTAAGAATTCCTTGTTTAATAAATTAGTTATGTTATACGAGTTATCAAACAAATGCTTGTTCTTCAGTACATTCAAAGATCGAAGAATTCTTAGAAGCGCATGGGTTTTTCAATGATATGGTATAAAAGAGAACCATGGGACATGAAATTGAGAAGGCGTTTCCTGCCGATCCAAAGCACTACCAATTGTATGAGGAAGTGGGTGAAGGTGTTAGCGCAACAGTGTACAGGGCATTATGCATTCCTCTGAATGAGGTGGTTGCTATCAAGGTTTTGGATCTTGAGAGGTGCAATAATGATCTGGTATGAGTTTTTTTTATTTATTTATATATTTTCGATATCAAATAAAAATAGGTTTTTCCTTAGCCTGCATAAGCTTGCTTATTTTATTTGGCTCATTATTTCTATTTTTATGAGTTTCTTATGCATATTTTCTTTTATGTGTGTTACACCATTTTATGCCTCATAGAAGGTGTTTGCAACGTGGATTTCACGGGAGGTTATTGGGGAATAGTACAATAATGAAAATAGGGGCAATTGATTTGTTTGGAAGGGGATTGTTGAGAATATGAAAACCGGCTTACTGCTCAATTTGGTAGTTTCTCATGTTTGGCAGTTTAGCGCATCTTTGAAACAATTTGAAATTATTTATTCCTTTCTTGTTTTAGCTACTCCCTGAATCTCTCCTTGCTATTTGTGCTCCCCCTCCTTTTGTTTTCGTGAAATAAAGGGAAGTAGGCTTAATAATTCTTTAGCTATTTTTGGCCTGAATTCCTGCCTGCTTATTCTGCTTGCTTCCGCCTCTCTCTTCGCGAATTAAAAGGATCGGTTCTTTTGCCGTGCCGAACGAAACGAGCATGAAGGGGACAGAAGAAGTATCTTCGACAAGATAGCTTTCGCAGGCTTTTCCTAGTTCTCTTCTTCGGTGGCTCTCGGGTAGAGAGATAGAGAGAGAGGAGAGAGAAATCTTTCTTGTATGTCGAGACAATCGATGATGTAATCTTAAAAGTAATAAAATCTTCTGCAGTTCCGTGGACGTAGACAATTTGCCGAATCACGTAAATCTGTGTGCTGTCTCTGTTTTGCGAATTTTTCTTTCGAATTTTTCCACTTTATTGCTGTCATTTTTCACAATAATTGGTATTATAACCAATGTTCGGATTTGAGGGAAAGCGATGACTGGAGACGAAGTGAAGTTATCAGAGATCGAGAAGTTTGATAGCACATATTTTAGTTACTGGAGGATGCAGATAGATAATTATCTCTATGGGAAGAAACTACATATTCTGTTGTTGGGAAAGCGACTGAAGAAGATGAACGGGGATGAATGAAATTCGTTGGATCGACAAGTTCTGTGGGTTATTCGATTAACTCTGTCGAGCGTTGCACACGTCATCAAGGAAATGACAACTACAAATCTCATGCAGCTTTGTCAGGTATGTATGAAAAACTATCAGCGAATAACAAGATGCATTTGATGAAAAAATTAAGGGAAAAAAAAAGAATGTCAGTTTTTTAAAAAGTAGCAGAGCGCCAATGACAGGAAAACTGGAACTTCTACACAGTTGTGCCGGGACGTTCTCTAGTGGCATCTCTTGGAGGCTCTCGTTACTATGTCACGTTGATTGATGACCCCATCATAAAGGTATGGGTTTATTTCTTGAACTATAAATCTGATGTATTTCTTGTGTTCAAGTCTTGGAAGACCATAGTTGAGATAGAGACAGATTTAAAATTGAAATGTTTGAGATCTGACAATGGTGGTGAATACATTAGTTGTGAGTTCAAGTACTGCGCATCTCAGGACATCGGAATAGAGAAGATCATTCCAGGGATACCACAACAAAATAAAGTTGCAGAACGTATGAACAAAACCATTAATGAACGGGCTAAAAACATGAGATTGCACGTCAAACTATCATCAATCTTCTGGGCATATGTGGTTAGCACTACCTTTTACTTGATCAACAGTGGTCATTCGTTCTAGTAGACTGTAGATTGTCTGAGGATGTTTGGAGTGGGAAAGAGGTTAAATTTTTTCACCTTAAGACTTTTGGCTGTCTTTCTTATGTTTTAATTAATCCTGAGGCTCTTAGCAAGCTCGGGGCTAAGTCAAAGAAATGTTATTTCATTGTCTATGGAAACGAGACATTTTATTATCTTTTCTAGGATGATCAGGATCGAAAGATCATAAGAAGCATGAATGTGATTTTCAATGAGAAGATCATGTATAAAGATAAGTCCAGTACAGTTTCTGAAGTGGTTCATCAGGAATTCGAGATGGTAAGATTTGGTGATCTACTAGAGGTCACAGTGTAGGGCACTGATAATAGTGATGAGGAGAGTGGGTCCGAAACACTCATTCCTATTGTTCCACAGACAATTTCAAAATCGCCCACCCCTACAGCTACTGTTCACAGGTCAATCAGGAATAGACATTCTCCTCAGTGTTACTCACCAACCTTGAACTACATTATGTTGACAGATGGTAAAAAACCACAGAATTATGAGAAAATTTTGCAAGATGAAAATTGAAGCAAGTGGGAGTTGACCATGAAAGAAATGAATTCTCTGCTAGAAAATAGGACATGGGAGTTGACAGAACTTCCACCAGAGAAGAAGACATTATACAATAAGTGGATGTACCGGGTGAAAACTGAGCATGATGACAGTAAGATGTACAAGGTTGGACTTGTTGTAAAAGACTTTTAGTAGAGGTAGGGTATTGATTATTCCGAGAACTTCTCTCCTGTGGTGAAGCTCACAACCATCAGAATGATAGTGTCCATGGTGGCTACCGAAGACCTATTCCTTGAGCAGTTAGATGTGAAGACAACATTTCTTCATGAAGATCTTAAAGAAGACATCTACATGCACCAGCCTGAGGGGTTTGTGGTACAGGGCAATGAAGATTCAACTTGCAGACTGAAGAAGAGATTGTATGGCCTCAAGCAAACTTCTAAAAAATGATATAAAAAATTTAATAAGTTCATGCAGAATGCAGGGTACATAGATGTCAGATAGATCATGCTATATCAGACATCTTGACAATTCTTATATTATTCTACTGTTATATGTAGATGCATGCTTATTGCGGGGGCCGATATTGATAAAATAAATAATCTAAAGAAGCAGATGTCAGAGCACTTTGCAATGGAGGATTTGGGTGCTACAAAATAAATCCCTGACATGAGGATTGTCAGAGATAGATTCAGAGGTACGTTGAAACTTTCACAGGCAGAGTATGTGAAAAAGTACTAAACAGGTTCAATATGGACAAGGTCAAATCATTTGACACACCTATGGGCAGTCACTTCAGACTAAACAAGAATTAGTCACCCAAGCCAGAGGAGGAACAAGACTACACCAATAAGGTTCCTTACACTTCAACTATTGATTCACTTATGTATGCTATTGTTTGCACAACATAAAATATTGCCCATGTAGTAAGAGATGTGATCAGATACATGAGTAACTCAGGAAATGAACATTGGAAAGCTGTGAATTGGATCTTGAGGTATCTAAAGGGCTCTTTAGAAACATGCTTATGTTTTTTCGGAAAGAGTTTAGAGGCACTGAGCTATGTTGATGTTGATCTAACTGGAGACATTGATAGCAGGAGGACTACGAGGAATGTTTATACACTTGGTGACACTACAGTATCATGGGGTTTTAGTCTACTGAAGACAATTTCTTTGTTTACTATAGAAACTGAGTATGTTGCAATGTCAGAGGCTGCAAAGGAGATGATATGACTATATGGTTTTTTTTGGAGGAATTAGGTTGGAAGAATCAAAAGGGCACTCTCTACGGTGACAGTCATAGCTCTATATTTCTTGCTAGGAACCCAACATTTCAATCCAGGACTAAGCACATTCAAATCAGATATCACTTCATTTGGTCATTGTTAGATGACAGACAATTGTTACTTGATCAAATTTATGACAACAAAAACCCTGCTGATATGTTAACTGAGGGTTTTACTCTTAAGAAACTGAGATTGTGCTCAACTTCAGTTGGTCTTCTAGCATGAAGACAAGAGCTTTGAGTTACAGAGGTGAATGTTATCATGTTTGAGGAAAAGAACTATACAGTCAGTGGATGATGCAATCTGTGTCCCAATTTCAATGTGAGAGAATTGTTGAAAACTTAGAAACTAGTCCACTGCTCAATTTGATCGTTTCTCATGTTTGCAGTTTAGTGCATTTTTGGAACAAATTGAAGTTATTTATTTGTCCCTTGTTTTAGCTGCTCACCGAATCTCTGCCTGATATTTGTGCTCTTCCGCCTTCGTCTGGTTTTCATGAAAATTAGGCAATTAACCTTAATTCTTCTTCTGCTATTTTTGTCCTGAATTCCCGCCAGCTCCCGCCTCTCTCTTCACAAATTAAAAGGAACGGTTCTTTTGCTGTGTCGAAAGAGACGAGCACGAAGGGATAGACGACGAAAGAAGATGTATCTTCGACTGTCGGTCAAACTTTTCGATAGATAGATTTGAAAATATGGTTCATGAAAAATAATTTTTGAAATTTAATGTAAGTATAAAAGATATATAGTTTGAGTTTTAAAAGTAGTATGTTTTAATTTTTAAAAAAAATGAGACCAAGTGGATCTTATTCGTCTAATAGTTTGCATAATCGTGTCTGATACCGCGAATAATAGACCTTCCCAAAATATAAGTGTATACCTCAGCGATGAACCCAATCATACAAACTAAGAGATTTATGACATTCGTTTAGTCTACGAATATTTTATGTGTGACCGACAAGTTCCCTTACCTAATATAAAGATTAATAGAGTTTATTTTACCTGGATTTCAAGTTCTCTATAAAAACAAACTCTTATAGTTAATTACATCTCAAATGACCTCTCGATAATAATCAGAAGTACTAGTTTTCAAGAATTCAAGATTTAGGTTTTCACTTTAGGACGCGAAAAATCATGTGGGAAAAGAACAAATTGAAGCATTTATTTTAGGAGTTCAAAAGAAGGAAGAGTTAGGAGAAATCACAGATTCTAAGGAGAAGCCTCCGTAACTTCCCAAACTATCATACTGTATGGCCGGCTACATTTTTGGAGACGATATTAATTAATTGTTTGATCCTGCCAGTTTTATTATTTGGGACTTACATTTGCATAATACCCGATTATGCAAATAGCCCACAGAGAAAGGAGGGTTTACGTCGTACCACACAACAACCTCGGAACCTAAAGCGAGTTAGGACTTATGCTGCACAATATGGTTGTACAGGAGCCTAAAGAAGATTTGAGGATTTACATCGCGCTAGGCGAGCTACCTCGAA